AAAAAGGGCAATATTTTTGGAGTTTAATGTAAACACCCTACACACACCCACATCTTATATAATTTGAAAACTCATTTTGTGTACGTTTAGATGAGGTATGATGTGGAGCTGTCAAGTGGTTTCATAAGTCTGTAGGTGAGGTGAAACAATGGTGCCCAAAATAAGAAAGTATCATTTTTTTGCACAGTTTCAGAAATGTTGCAAAATGACTGACTTCATTTTTTACTGATAAGTTAATTTCAACTCTTTAATATGGTGCTTATTGGTCAAAGCTACCAAATGACAATGTAGTAAAAGATTTTTATTTGTTTTGCATGGGCAAGTATTTTTTCCCCCAGAAATGATAAGGCTATTTAGCATGTGGGAAAAATGACAGATATCAACGTTTTGCAATATACGATCATGAAATGTCTTAACATTGCATATTCTTAATTGTGAAAGTATCTCACAAGTGATTATAATAGTTTTCTATATTTTCAACTGAAATTTGCTGACCAAATCAGTCATACTGAAGATTGTGCACCAGTAGCAGTAGGTTGTGTGCCCATGGTTTGTCTGTCATAGTGGGTAGATGTAGATACATGTGAATTCCTAATGTAATGCTTCTCCATTTGCAAGCTTTTTGTACATACAATGTAGCATCTAGTCTGCCTACGAGAAAGTTTTAATTTGTAATTGCCTATGCATGCAGTACTAGCCTTTGAAATATTTTAGAAACCATCTTTTTAATTCAGTGTCATTTATGCACAAGTCTGTAGTGGTGTTAGAGATGACAATACACAGCCGCATACTGGGCTTCAGTCAAAGTGCTCACTAAACAAAAATGGCAATTTTGATACTCACATATAGATCTAATTTATATCTGATCTAGCACAAGTCTGTATACTTTTACTAGATGAAAACTGGTGATAGTGGTAGTGTTAATTCTAACAATATATTTTTGGAGTTTTACCTCTACAAAGAAGTTACAGTATGTGAAGACATGGAGGATACAAACCCCTTAACGCTTACATCAAAGAGAAAAAGACTCTCATGAAATTTTGAAAAATGTGTTATTTGTCAAAAAAATCAAAAGAATGCAAAATTGTCAAAAGCCACCAATGATGGACAGAATTCTGTGATGCTGGCAGCAGAAGCCAGGAGAGATGAATTGTATTGGCAGCTACTGAATGAGTTTTTTAGTTTAGAAGATGTGCCACCAATACTCTATCACTGGAGTTGCTTTCAGAAATACAAAAGCAAATTGAATTTGGCACGTCACTGTTGTATTGAATGCAGGAAAGAAAACAGACTTTGAATCTGATCTGAGATCATTATGTTCTCCCTCTTCTATAGCCACCAGAGTAAGCACATTCTCCAGTGATAGGTCCTGTTGCATTGTTTGCTTGAGAACACACAAGAAAGATAAGAAGCTTCATAAAATACAAACATTTGAGAGAGCAACCAATCAAAGGGAGACAGCATTTCAAAGAAGAGATGATGACATTTTGCACAGAATATTGGTGGAAGACTTGATTGCTTGGGATGCATTTTATCCCGCAGCCTGTTTTTCTTCCTAATTGAGTAAAATGAATCTTAAAGCTAAATCATCTAGTTACAGTGCAACATTACCGTCACCTCATGACATAGCATTTTACCAGCTGATTGGAGAGAGAGACAATGATCTTTTGTACAACAAGAAGGCTCTTCTCCTGTCCAAGCTGCTACAAAGATATAAAGCCCTATTTACCTAAGATGTAGAAACTGGAAGCTATTCCAGTAGCAAATTACAGGCAAGATTAGAATAACGCTATGGTTCTGCAATTTCATTGCATGGACAGCATGGCCAAGGCAAATCTACCATTGTTCTGTGCAGCACAATCACATTAGCTGATACTATCTAAGATACTAGTAATCTGAAACAGGAATTTAAGTTATCCAAATGTTTTGTAGATGTTCTTCTGGCCAGTGAGCCTGATGAACAGCTTTCAAATGAAGTAGTGGTTTTGTATAATGTCACTTCAATTCTTTGGTCTGAAATAGACAAAATGAAAGCCTCAGATTGTTATCCAAAGCCAGGTGATTGTATTTTACAGAGGTCAGCCACCTTTGTACCTCAGTTTGTGCAGGAGTTTGTCTTTTGATAAAGAAGCATATAATTCAACCAGCAATGAGTATCATCCTTCAGAAGACATTCAAAGAAGGTGCCTCTCAGAGTGAATGATATTTAACAGTTCCAATATTATCACACCACTGCACATAAGCCTTGCTGTACAGCTACACCATGAGTTTAGGTCTCTCAATTTAATTGACATACTAGACCTTCATGGATTCTGAATCAACTATGATGCGCTGTGATAGTTCAGACTTTGCAGCATTAATGATGAAGTAGACAGTCTTCAAGGAGGTGTGTTCATTCCAAATAGAATTGTACCACTTCATGATGGTGAAAATCTCATCCATGAAGGAGATGATAATATAGACATCTGGGAAGAGATCATTGATGGAAAGAATACCTTCCATTCAATGGCTAGAGTGGAATTTCAAGAACAGCCTGCAAATAATCCAGTATCACAAGAAATATCACTGAAGTGTGGGAAAGAAAAGTCACTTGCTCTCCCTGGGCAATCAGAGTCTCTTATGCAGTGCACAGCCTTTGGAAAACCAGAAACGACTTGCCATGAAAAAGTACTTGAGAAAATAAACTCTTGTCACCTACAAATGAACGCTATCCAAGATCTCTCTTGGAGTCTTTTAAGACTTCTAGCTTGTGATGTCCTGTCAATACCAAATGATGTTGATATTGTTCATACTCAGGCAATTCCATTTTGGACTGGTTTCAACCACAAGTCTGCAACAAAGAAGAGCACCTACACAGCAGTTGCATATGCATCTGTTGTGGATGTCAAGCCACCTGCCATGGCCATCGTCTGTACTATAATGCTGAAATCTAAGGAAATGTCAGCAGCTATTGAATAGCAGCACGCTGTTCAGACCATGGATCAGCAGCTATGTGCTGTTGCTCAGCAAGTGAAAAGAACTCTCCCAAATGAACTTGGTACCAATGTCATTCACCTGGGTGGTTTTCACAACTTATGCTGTTTTTTGCATGTATTGGGAAATCAGGGGAATTACTGGATTGCTAGACCTACTTGTTGACTCAGATGTGTATGCAGCTTGTATTGCAGATCCAATGCTTGCTGGAATGCAATTCAACCATGCTCCGTATGGCTTGACTCTAGTATCTGAGGCCCTAAGTACTCTGAAACTTTATTTGTTTGTTAAATGGTGTGAGCAGGGAGGAGGTACTTGTGTAGATCCAGCATTTGTCTGGAAAATGTTGGCTGACACTGTGTTCTTACAACATGTCATTAAAGAGTTTGAGTATGCTATAACTCAGCATATGCTACCACTATTGGTGGAATTTTGGACATGGGGGTATGGCCAGTCTCCTACATTTAAGTTCTGAGATCATTTCCTCTCCTTTATGTAGGTATTTAAATGTCCATGCAGAGCAAGAGCGTGATTGGAAACTTCACCAACACACAGCATGCCATGCTTGCATACTTCTTTACTGCAAATTGGCCCAGCTATGCCAGGTGAATACCAAGCTACAATCTTAATTTGTAAAATGTCCCTGAAGAAGTACATAGTGCCTTTGAATCTGGAAAATTTGCTGTGCATCAGACTCCTTGTTCTTTCACTGGAATTTGGGGTGCTGTAGGAACAGAGAAAATGATCATCAAAGACTCAAAGGGCAGCAGTGGGATTGTAGGACTGACAAGAAAGATGCCAGCATCTGTCAGATGGGCCCTCACAAGACATGTCCTGAGTGAATATGCAAAAGCTATGAGAGAAAGAAGTGGCCTAACAAGGAGTGGGGACAGTTTTTAAGAGTATGTCAAAAGAGAATGTTGGCAAACAAAGATGTGGATATCTTTGCACATAGTAAGCCAATATCTAGTTTACCCATTGGAACGTGGATGGGAAAATGTGGATGATGAACTACTTCTGTATTCTTCAATGGCCCAGTGGCATCTGAGCTTCTTCAAGACCTTATTTCTGCCCATATAAGTAAGGGTCGCTCCCCAGTCAGCTGTGTGTGTAGTCAGAACGATCTCTTCTACACACTGTGTATGTGCCAAGGCAATGGAGACTGTTGTAACCCATATATTCTTAACAGATCATAATGATGGAAAAGATGATGATGATGTTGACTGGAAATGTCACCAGTGCTATTATGTTTCAATGATACCTGTACAAATTTATTATTAGATTTTGTTTTGCCCTTTAGATTGTTGTTGTGATGTTTTGAAGTCACAAATGAATCCAAGTCTCTTGAAACAGACATTAACCAAAATGAATGCAAATATTTCAAAGTGGTCATTACATTTTTAACTTGTTGATGATGACATTGCTTATCCCTGTTTCTATGGTACTGAGATCACTTGACAGCTCCACATCATACTTTATCTAAAAGTAGACATAATAAGCTTTCAAGTGACATATGATTTGCATATGTGTAGGATGTTAACTAAACCAAATCAGTGGTGTCTCCTACTTGCCTGCTACAGGTAGATACGTTGAAAACCAGTCACATAGCTTTCCCCAATATATCTAATGTTGGATTTAAGGACATATGTAACTAACGTTTAGCCAAAGTGTACAATAAGAGACTCTCAAAGCTGTCAGAAATTCTTAGAATAGGCAGTGAGCTCCAGGCAAACAGGACCTGCCCTCTCATTCACCTTTCCTTCCTTGTAAACTGGATTGCTAGTGTAATGTACTGGGTATTATTAAGCACAATTTTTGAACAGCTCTTCATTTAATAAAACTTTTAGTGATGTGTTTTGTAATGCATGTTCTCTTATTGACCCTTAAAAAGTAGGGTTTATAGCAAACTGTTTATAAAATGTTTGCAATTATTTTAGCAACATATTTTATAAGCTCATTAAATATGTGTAATGTTACTCAAATGTTCATATTTTTATACTACTTGTCTTACTATTTTTTTTTAACAGAACATGAGATTTGTACTCAAGATATCTCAGAACTACAGTGGCATTTTGACTGTGCAAATCGTCAGCTCCAACAGGTAAAAGCCCAAGTACTTAAGATAGAGACAGTTAATGGAAGGATTCAGGAGGATATAGACTTCATGAAGAAATACAGCCCTCTGCTGGAAGAAAAGCTGAATCTTGAGGGTGATGCTATGAAGGATGTATTACTGGCACATGGAAAGGTAAATAGAAATGATGCAAGGATGTTTTTACTAAAATCTTTCTGCTAATTAGGGACATGCACGTTTAGAATTGCCACCTGCTGCCAACACCAAAGTGCTGTTCGATATACTGCATGCAAAGGATGGGAACCTTAGAATTGCACTGAATACAGGAGTTTCCTGCTTACATTAGTTCTAATGTGCCTTAGTGTTCCTTATCAATAATTTTTGTAAGATGCATGTATTACTAATAGTGTTCATTCTTCACATTTTGTAACCCAAAAAGAAAAGTTTATAAACATTGTGTATTTTTAGCATTACAATATTTTGGAGTATACCTTTGTAATTACTTCTTTTAAATGTGATACAGAGGAATTCAGGCTACTGATTTTACATCTAAAGACATTGTGGCTCTCTTTCTCAGATGTTTAATGGTACTTGCAGTATTAATATGATTAAAAACAAATCTATGAAATTCCAGAAAAAGTGGAAACATATTTACCTGGAAAATTCAACAAAACATCTTATACTATCATTCTGCTTTGGTCTTCAGTCAGTGTTTCAGTCATTTTCTCTTTTTTCATTTAGCTTATCCAGTTAATTATCTTCCAATGTTTTCAGGTTTCCAAATTTTAGTTGTTGTTGCACTGTTGGATGTGTGAATAGTATTGATATTTTTTCTCCATAAAGATCCACGTGAAAAAGTTTAGCCCTTTTCTATTTCCATAGCTGCCATAAGTGCCTGTGCATTAGAATTCCAAGAAGACCTCATATTAGTGAGCTTCTGCAGAGAATTTTACAATTTATTTTGTGCTGTTTGCAGATAGCTCATGATACATGAAGCCCAACTCCTGAATTACTAGTGTCACTGGACTTGCAAGAGAAAATTTTACCTTTTAATGTCAATGAAAAGCTTTACAAATAACATGATGATCTTAAACAAATTTGCTATTGATCCATTTTTCTTTCTTTAAAATAAAAATCAACATTAACAAGTATATCATCACAGTACAATATACCTGAATACTTACTGGTACTCCTGCAAACGCCTCACTTCTAAATTATTATATAAAGCCTGGGTGATATTTATTGAGACGTACATAGGTTGTATGTGACTGTGAGTTGAGTAGATGTTCTATTCTTAAGACTAACATTTTGTTATATCAGCAGATAGGGTAGTTTCAAAATAATGCTAATTAAAGGTCAGGCTGTTAACTTTTTCTTCTACTTATTTTTTTATTTCCATTCTTCTTGTTGTTGCCTTGGGATATATTTGATGCAGTGAAAATTTCAAAATGATCTGAAATACAATTCATGAAATAGACTTTTCCCAAAGCAATTTTAAATTAGTACCTTTTCCAGTACTGATTTTTTTCTTTTCATTACTAAATGAAATAATGCAAAATCTCATCATAGAAGTGGTAACACTACATGGCATAATAAGAATATAGGTCATTTCTTGTGGTAACTCATTCACATATTTCCTCTTTAAAAAGTTAGTAGATATTAAAAAATATATATTCAAGGTTTAAATTGTGCTCTAATTCATATGCTTGGATTAACTGGTTCCACCAATTGTATTGGTTTTCTCCTCCTCATTGCCTTAGGATCTTGCAGGCACTTGATTTTTCTCTTTAATTAAAAATAATTAGATAAGATTGAGTATATATGTTTTTTTCTTTGGGAAATTAAAAAAAAAAGACTGAGCAGTTAATAAGGGCTTTAGATTATAATATACTCCTATTTTTGTTCTATTATGTGAATCACTGATTTCTTTAACTGTTAGAGGAGATTTTGGAAGGCAGAGAGGGCAGCTATGTACCAAATTCCCATTGAAAGTCAATGGGAATGTGGTGCCTAACTCTCATTTGTGCCTTTGAAAATCTCCGTCATTGTCTCAGGCCTCTCTGTTTCTTAAGTGAATGTCAGGCTTGTACAGCCCCTCAGAAGCCTTTAAGTAATGATTCTGTAAGGTTGCTGAGTACAGACTCAGTGGCTTCTTCCAAGTTTTGTGTTCTGCTCCATTGGTCTCTGCCTTCCCATGCAAGTGGCCATCTTTTCACAATAACTTCCAAATGTTAGCAAGAGAGCTTTCATTTTTTTATAACACTGGCTTTTTGATATCATCAGGTTCTACACATGCTTTGTCATTGTCTTCTACTCTGACGGCTTTTTTGGTATTCCATGCTTTATTTATTGCTAAATATTGTGACATTCCAAAGCACTACACTCAAACTTTCAAATAGTAATAAGTGAGTCAGAAGATTACTGAATGAGAACAGTTGTGTTTAGAATATTATATACATTTCATAATGAAAACAGTTTATAGAAGATTTATTTTCCTTTTTCAGGCATCAAAATTATATTATGATGTTTATCGGGAACTTCTGAGAATCCAGCAGATTTTAAAACAAGTCACTGAAGAAGCTGAAAAGGAGAGAGAATCTATGTCTGAGAAAATTAAATACGCTGAGATAGTGTTGAAGCAGTACCAGTAAGAGCCCTTTAAAACATTATTAAAATATTCTGATGATCTTTAATATTTTGACAGTTTAGAAGTATAATGACAATAGAAGCACAGTATATTTGCATTCAGAAAATGTCCGTTTTAAATTCTGTTCTTGTTTGAGTGTTCTCTGCATATTCTCAAACTGGGAATGTGCTGACCAGTGCAGTTTGGATGGTGGAACCTTTTGATAGTACCCAGTGCCGGCTCCAGGCACCAGCTTGGCAAGCAGGTGCTTGGGGCGGCCACTCCGGAGAGGGGCGGCAGGTCCAGCTATTCGGTGGCAATTTGGCGGATGGTCCCTCACTCCCGCTCGGAGCGAAGGACCTTCTGCCGAATTGCCGCCGCAGATTGCGATCGCGGCTTTTTTTTTTTTTTTTTGGCTGCTTGGGGCGGCCAAAACCCTGGAGCCGGCCCTGATAGTACCACCTGTTAAAGTGCTCACCCACCCCTCCTACTGCTCCCCTCAGCATTCGAGCATATTCTGAGGGCATGACTATAAATAGGGCTGCCACCTTAGTTACTTTCTTCCACAGAACTCAGGTGGATGTGGACCTTTCTAGATCTCTTGGATCCACAGCTTTGAATGCCTACTAACTCTACATTAGTTGTTAGATTAGATTATCTAGCTAGCTTTATAGTTCATAGTATTAGCGTTAGGATTTTAACTTAAAATATTTACGAAGACTATGTTACTGGCATTGATTGCAGATCCAAAGACAATGAAGCATGATTTTAAAAGATGTGCATCATGTCCTGCAGTCTTACTGGCATCCAGTGCATGTGTCAGGTGACTTAAATGACATGGGAAAGGACATTCCCCTTCACATTGTGCTGTTTTTAGCACGTTCACTACTTGGGCCAGTAAGGAGAGAGAAAATATACTTCAGGCCCTCAAGAGGCCCTGTCTGCCCAACCTCTAGGATCTGAACCTCAAAGAGATCTGAAGGAAAAGATAAGGGATCCAAGGTGGCTCTGAGTACTTTCCCAAAAGAGAACCATGGAAAAGGGTTTGGTCTTGGCATGGAGCTCTGGTTCCAAGCCAACTGAGATTTTGGTAGTAAATCCAGTGATTCAGCTCTAAGATACAGCCTGCATCTGAGGCTAGGTCTATACTACCCGCCTGAATCGGCGGGTAGAAATCGACCTCTCGGGGATCGATTTATCGTGTCCCATCGGGACGCGACAATCGATCCCCAAATCGACGCTCTTACTCCACCAGCGAAGGTGGGAGTAAGCGCCGTCGACGGGAAGCCGCAGAGGTCGATTTTGCCACCGTCCCTACAGCGGGGTAAGTTGGCTGCGATACGTCGAATTCAGCTACGCTATTCGCGTAGCTGAATTTGCGTATCTTAAATCGACCCCCCCCATAGTGAAGACGTAGCCTGAGACAGTTCTGGCTAAGGAACCCAAGGCTCCAGATAACATGCCAGAACTAAGCAATGTGCTTTCAAGGAAAAGAAAGGTCAAATTAAAACACATCTTTGGTAATTCATTGGATTCTATTATGGATCTGAGTCCTGAGGACATAAAAGCTCCAAATTGTTCTAAGGTGATAGGTTAAGCTGTCTTCTTCTTTGGCTCTATTATTTCATCTTTCCTACTTCCTACCATTACAGTTATGACGCAGGTTCATGTGGATCTGCAACACGTAACAGATCTGACTGGTTCTCCAATTAGATTGGAACAGGTTCCAACTCTGGTGTGACGCAAGACAAATTACCTCTACATCCTCCTCTTTACTTCCTGGAATTAAAGAAATCTGGGCTATCTCAAAGCTCGGTGAAGGTAAACCTCTCAGCCATTCTACCAGAAGCTAGAGGGTCATTTGGTGTTCACTCATCCTACAACAAAAAGATTTCTTGAAGGCATGAGTAACCTCTACCCCCAAATCAGAGATCCTATACCAGCATGGGACCGTAACCAGGTCTTGAGCTGTCTTACAAAGTTTCCCATTGAACCAATGGCAACTTGCTCACTCCTACACCTCTCTATGAAAACCATGTTCCTAGTGGCCATCACGTGCTCAGAGAGTGGGAGAGATAGGGAGCCTAATGGCGTACTCTCTCCCCCTTTAAGCTTTTCTTCAAATACAAGGTCACAAATTCCTTCCAAAAATACCTGCAGTCTTCCACATAAATCAACCTATTCACCTCCCAGCATTCTTTCCCAAACCGCACCAGGATAAAAGGGAGGCAACACTACACACACTTGACATCAGAAGAGCGTTAGCCTTCTACTTGGAAAGGATCGAACCTTTCAGAAAATCTCCAAGACTATTCCTCTCCATCGCAGACAGATCTAAGGGATCCCCAGTCTCTAGGCAAAGACTTTCTAGATGGATATCAGACTGCATTACCAACTGCTTTCGCAACTGCTACAACCCTTCGGGAGCCTGAAAGCATTCTACAAGCTCTCTGTCCACTCCCATAGCCTTCCTCAATAATGTTCTGGTCACAGAAATATGCAGAGCAGCAACTTGGGCATCTGCTCAGACATTTGCAGAACATTATTCAATCACCCTTGCTTTAGCATCAGATGTGATATTTGGCTTGACAGTATTATCATCCATATTGGACTCCGCTCCGAAGCCCCATCCCTCCACCAGGGACATTGCTATAGAGTCACTTAGAGTCAGGGGCGGCAGGTTTGTAGAAATTTTGGTGGTGCCCAGAACGCCCAGAGCCTGTCCCCCAACCTGCCTAAGGCTCTGGGAGGGAGTTTGGGTGTGGGGAGGAGATCTGGGGTGCAGGCCGTGGGCTGGGGCAGGAGATTGGGGTGCAGGCTCTGAGAGAGTGTTTGGGTGCAGAAGGGGTGAAAGGTTGGACTCTGGGAGGGAGTTTGGGTGGGGGAGGGGGTCTGGGGTGCAGGCTATGGAACGGAGTTTGGGTGCTGGCTGCAGGCTCCGGGCTGGAGCAGGGGGTGGGTGTGCAGTAAGGGGTGAGGGTTGCAGGCTCTGGGATGGAGTTTGGGTGCAGGCTCTGGGATGGGGGTGGGAGTGCAGGCTCTGGAAGAGAGTTTGGGGATGGGAGGGGGTGCAGGCTCTGGAGTGGAGTTTGTGTGTAGGCTCTGGGCTGGGGCAAGGGGTGGGAGTGTAAGAGGGGGTGAGGGGTGCAGACTCTGGGAGGGAGTTTGGGTGCAGGCTTTGGGATGGAATTTGGGGATGGGAGGGGTGTGGAGGGAGCGTGTGCAGGCTCTGGGAGGGAGTTTGGGAGTGGGAGGGGGGGTGCAGGCTCTGGACTGGGGGGTGGGGGTGCAGGCTCTGGGAGGGAGTTTGGGGATGGGAGGGGATTGGGGTGCAGGCTCTGGGGTGGGGTTGGGAGTGCAGGCTTTGGGAGGGAGTTTGGGGCCGGAAGGGGTTGCAGTCTCTGGGAGGGAGCTTGGGGCGAGAGGGGGTGTGTGGAATTGCCATATTGTTAGGCAACTGAAGAAACTGAGAAAAATGCTCTTGAACAGTTCACATTCATGGCACAGCAAAGAACAAAAAGACATAGGAAAGTCATGGTAACTACAGAGGGAAACATGGAAATGACGTTGCCCTTTATCCTGATGAAGAAGTTGCAGAAGTGACAGACATTCTGTGCAAGGCTTCAGAAAGATTCTAGGCAGGGTGGATAAAAATCAATGATTTAAAAAATAAAATAAAAAAATGGATTTTTTTATTTAAATCGGATATTTTTGATAAAATGCTTTTTGAGGAAAAAAACCTATGTAAAGATGGTTTTAATTAAGATACATTATAGCTTAAAGATATCTCATCATGGAATAGTTATAAGTTCTAATTGTATAGTATGAGACAATATATTCATGTAATGTTTAAGAAAAGTTTTGTAAATGAGTTCCAATAGTTCATGGATTAGGACCCAATTTTATGGGGCTCCAGGGGCTTCTGTATAGATTATTTAGGTTAATCTTTCTATCTACCCAATGGGACTTAGTGCTCAGTCTAGAAGATACCATCAGAGCTGCTTAGTTTTGCAGTTCTCAAACAGTGGATTTGTGTCTCCAGAGATAACATGCTTGTTAACAGCAAAAATGTTTTTAAATAAATAAAAAATATATAGAGGTGAGAAATAACAGACCTCAACCTTATTGTCCCTCTGCAAATTTGTGTACACAGAATCAATCCCTTACCTCTCTCTAAAAGTGCAAAGTTTCAAAAAGTTTAATGAATTTGTTAAATGATTGTTGGTGGCGAAATACATCTGGACAAGGAGAAGAAGTCTGGAGATAAATGTGAGATGGGAGGGACAGGCAGTAGAAACAAAGTGCAACTGTTTGAGCAGCATATTCCAGAAGTCTTGAGGACTTGCTGGGTGTAGCCTTCGTTGATTTGAGATCTACCATACCATTCTCTCACTAGAAGGGAAAACCTTTAACGGCAGCAGGCCGTAAAAGAGGCCCAGTTTGGGAATAAGAACCATTCAAGAAATATATGTTTGCTGATGTTTTAAAGAAAATCACACCAGTGAATTTGTGGAAGTCACTTAAACACTTGGATTCAGAGACTGTTGAAGTGATAATCTCACTTTTAAGAGCAGTAGTTTCTTCTGCCGGTGTAGAAAGAATACTTTCTTCCTTTGGACTAATTCATTCCAAATTGAGAAATCGTTTGGGACCTGAAAAAGCAGGAAAGCTTGTTTTTCTTTTTCAGATTATGAACAAACAGGAAAATGAAGGTGAAGATGACTGAGTTAGCAGCAGAAGCCAATATTTTAACTTTCTCATGTTGACATGGCTGACATAGTTGATTTAATTATTTTTTTAAAATATTTCATTTAACTATTTTAGTTAAAAACAATTTTAACAAAAACAAACCTGATTTTAAAAAACTTGAATGTTTTAACTACATTCAAAAATTCATATGCTTGTTTTGTTAAAATATTATATGTTTGCTGTTGAAGGCAAAAATCCAGAATACATAACGTTATTGTTTTAGTTAAATAAAACAATTTAAATGTCTGTCTGGTGATGTTCTCCTGGTAATACAGCATGGCAAGAAAATCCTCCAAATATTAATGATTAACCTGTTGAATTGGAGATAGTTCACCTCCCAATAACTTCATAAATATCTGCTTCAATGACCTTTGGTAAATGAAATAACCAAACAATCATTCATTTTCTGATATAGCTGTAAAACTAATCTGAAAAGTTTTCCAAATAAATCACTTTAAAAATGTATAGTATGTATCTTCTAAAAATGAAACCTACATCTATCTCTGAGTTGTGAAGAATATGTATTAAGGTTATAACAACCAACAAGAATGCACTTTTATGTAGAAATCCATGATTAAGTCGAGTCTTCTTGACTAGTGATGTGAATCAATTTGATTTAAATCAAATCCACCCTGATTCTAGGTAAGCTAAATGCTTATATTTACTAGATAATCTATCAATTTTAAAAAAAAGAGATTGTCAGCAATAATTTGAGCTGATATCGTGAAACCAGTTATCTAAATATATAAATTCAGTGATTGACTTCATTACTGTATTTATTACACTTTAAATATTTGAAATACACAGTGCATGGTTGGACACAGGGTCCAATGTAGTTCTAATAATCTAGCACACAGCACTACACTTCTGCCATCATTGGAATTTTCCCTGTGATGTGATAGGATGAAATTACTTCGCCAATTTAGGGCATCCTAAGTCCGGTAAAATACAGCTATGGGATGGTGGAATAACAGGCAGGAAGTGAGGGAGACTTCTGCTCTTGTGGGAGTATGCTTCCACAAACACAATAATAAATACAGTGTGTATGTATTAGCTGCCATGCCACACTTCAACCTGATCTCCTCCCATTTCCCTGACCCTTTCACAAAGCATGCTCTCATGTATATAGCAGTAATAAAGAATGTGTACAAAACCTGTAATTGTGCCCAGTATCTTCTCATTCTTCATTTCTTCCTCTTCCTTACGTTTCTTCAGCTGAGTTGGAGGGGTCACTGCTGTCCATAACATTATTGAGTTTGAAGTAGTTGTGAGGACATTAGCTCAAAACAGCGACAAGTGTTTTTTGCCATTTGTTGGAGTCCTTGACCTGATTACACTGCAGCCTCAGTGCTTTTATCTTTTTCTGGTATTGAGGGGTGCTCCATTGCATCATGCTCCCTGCAAGATGAGCTAGGATTTATTGATAGACCATTGGATAGCATATGACAGTATTCAGATCGGTCTGAATTCCCTTCTCACTTCAGTGTGAAAGCAAGGTCTTTATCTCCCATTTGGACCTAATCTATTGGCTTCTCCATTTGGTTTTGGTTACAGATGCCAGCTGGTGCAATCACTTACAAGCTTGTTAGACAATGATGAGTATGCTATGTCCAGAGAAAGAAGTTGATGGACATTTTAAACAGACTGTGGTTTTCTGCTGATGGAGCCTGGATAGCCTTTTAGAACAAGCTTTGGAAGGACAGAGTGCCCAGAGGATACTCTTTGGAGCGGGGACTGCCATTTTTCTTGTTTATAAAGTGCCTCGCACAGTGGGAGTTGTGGCCTCTTGGTGCTACCTCAATATAAATTATAAACCATAGTGATAATGCTTGTAAGTCTAGGTACCCGCATAAACGTATTATCTGAGTCCTTCAATAGATGAGTGTACTCTGGGATGCCTACCTGCATAGAGGCATGGAAGGAGGTAGGAGTGACCTGGGCACATAACAAAATGACTATGCACCTGATTGCTTAAATGAAGAAAGCTGTACATTAGACTAGGCCAACAGCAGGAACAGCACTTGGTTAACATGCTTGATTATTAACTGTGGGATGTGTGAACCAAAACCATGTTTTAAGCTATTGCACTAGTAACTGGTTAGAGGCTCAATTAGAAGTTGTGTGGTTAAACTCTTTATTTACAAATGAATAGCTTTAAAGCCTGACTGGAATAAGAACAAAAAAGCAGTCATACTGTGTCAGACTAATGGTCCCTCTAGCCCAGTACCGGTCATCTGACAGTGCCCCGTGCCAGATGCTTCAGAGGGAATGAATAGAACAGGGCAGTTTCAAGTGATACATCCCCTGTTTTCCAGCCCCAGCTTCTGGCAGATGATGATGTCAGGGTAGATATTTCAAAATCTATTAATATATAAGTATTTGAGTGACTTAGGCAACAGAGAGAACCAAAATAAATCTTTACTGATTCAAATCTGCTTTACATTCTCCTCTATGGAGACGGGTGATGTTGGAACACTTCCAAATAAATGAATGACATTATTCTTGTGTTTCTATTAGCAATGATTTAAAACACTCAGAATTTCTTTGGACTGAATTGTGTATCAAGTTAAAAGAAACAGAGGAGAAGATTATAAAGGAAGAAAGACACCTTGAAGAGTTAGTAAAGCAAAAAGAAGAGATACAGGAAGATGCTAAATCTTGGAACAACAAAGTGAGTTTTGAATATTTATAAACAACCAAATAAATAAAACAAATATCTTTTAAACTGAAAAGTACATGAAATTCTGTGTGTTTGTAAGTTAAGGTTTCCTGTAATAGCACAAATGAAAGTATTTATTTTGAGTATATTGAAAACGTTTGATATAATGGAATTTGTTCATTATTGTGTTACAGTAATGTAACTTTGTTTATGAAGAGTAATAATATAGCATCTTACAGTACTTCATGGGACTGCTGCATATTCCTACCTGGCACTGCTGACCTTTTCAAACCTTCTGCAACGAAATGCATGCTCAATGGAGCTGCATCAGTGCCGTGTTGAATCAGTGAACATTGGAAGCTGAGAGGTATTGTGATTGTCCCTCTGTACCTGGAGCGATTTCTGTTTTACTTTAAAATTCTCCTTTTTTTCTTGTTTTCTACTTTTTCTACTTTATTTAGCATATTTTGGGAACTCTGCACTGTTGCACAGTTTATTTTAATATTTGAATTGAAAGGCCTACCACAGGTTAGTTGTCGCCAATCCAGTTTTCAAGAATCTGGATAACAAACAGATGTAAGTGATGTGTTGTGCTCTTCCGTGTTCACTGAAGCAGTCTCATGCAGCCACTGTTTATTCTCCCTGGGGGAAATTTTCCATATCACTGCTTACTGTACAGAATCTTCAACCTTTGGGCCTAGAGTGCTATGCAATGGAGGCAGCAAACCTTTCTCAACAAGGAGGCTTTATTAGTCTGGCCTTTGAATCTACATTTGGATCCACTGTCTATGGCTGTGAAAGGCAGGTGGCCTTTTATTTCAAAGCCAGGCAAATCAGCAACAATCTGTGCACTGAAGAAATCTGTTGGGTTTGGTTGGGTTTATTACCTGTAGTTCCTAAGTCTGTGACTTGAACTGAGGTCTCTTTATCATGAAAAATGTCAGTTCTGAGATGTGAGCTTAGTTGTGCTGACAGCTCATTGGTGCTGGGGCCAGCACTGACTTCTAAAAATCCTATTGGTGCTGTCCCTTTTTTCATAATGAGGACTTCCCAGGTGCTGAAGAAACCTAGTGCAAAACTAATCCTTACTGATGTGTTAATGGCAGACCCTTTTTTGACACAGAAGAGCCTTGTTTGTTGGAACAAGCTGGTGCGGGAACTCCTTCAGTTCAGTGCCAGGATCTTTCCTGGCTCCAAAGAAGCAGCATGAAGATGTTGATGTGGGCTTAACCTCAGCATTGTTTCCAAAACCTCAAGTGGGTCTTCACTTTGACAATACATTAGTACTGTTCTCAGCTGTCCTCATGCACAAGGATAAGAAAAAGGGATGTAGAGGGATCTTCAGTGCCAGAGATCTTGCCAGGGTCCCAGAAGAGGGGACATCATTATGGGTCCAGGAAGCATATGGCTAAAGTTCCTCTGAAAGGCAATCTGACTGTGCACCGTCCCTTAGAAGGAGCAATAACTAAAAAATTGAGCCAATAGCATTAAAAAAAGTAATTGCTTTTTACATTTTCTTTTTTATCAGTGTTCTGAAGTTCAACAGTTAGTCATAAAAAACAACCACATGGGAAAAGAGGACAAATTAAGTAAGCAGAAATGTAAAACAGCATAATACATGTCCAAAAGTTATAATGGACACATTATTCTTGTCCACCAATATAAATATATTCAGTTATCAAACCTGACTTATATTTTACTGTCCAAGTAAATTTTAAAAGGTTGTAAAATTTGCATGTATAAATCCCAGCTGTTTAATGATTTCATCATACAAATTAGAGAGAGAGAGGAGGAAGGTATTTATACCCAACTGATATGCAGGGGAGAGAGAGGGGGTTACTACGTCCATAGGCCATGCTATCCATTTTCATAACCAGAACAGGCAATTTTTGGTTTAAAAATAGGTTGCTTTAAGCTAGGAACATCATCTGTGGAGCCACTTGAAGAGTCGTTTTTGGGTTTCAGGCCCATCCCTTCCACAGACCTCAATTTGGCTGATTTGGTTAGGAGCCAAATAGTGGCAGAGCTATGGTTCTTGTCATCAAATATTCAGATGGTGAGTCCTTTAGATTTCAGGTCATGTCTGAAAAGCCCTGATATTCATAGAAATTATTTTTAAGTAGAACTGCACTTTAAGCATGTTTGTTGGATTACAAAATAAAAATATACTATAGGAGAGACTGAATTAAGAGCCCCACAAAAAAAATCTTCATCTACAGAAATATCAAAATAGTCCTATATACGACAACTAGAAATTATGAAATTTGGTCTTTTAAAACACTCAATAGAAGGCAAAGATGTAAAGCCAGACTATTTGGGGAAAACAAAACTAGATATACAACAGTTTTTGGATCTAATTTCCATGGTGCTGTGGTGTTCTTTTTACTGTAACAACAGAGTAATTTTAGTTCAGTTCCATTCATTTTAAATTACTGTTGTATCAGTTTGCATTTTTACATTCTCTCTTTTTTCATTGATTTTTTTTTTAATGTTTGTTTTCAAGGATGAGTCCCAGGTCTGATTCTTAGAATCCTTTTTTGCTTCAGTTTATTACTGTATTTGGTTTTAGTTTCTTTAATTCAGCTTTCACTTCATGTTCATTGGAATCTCCCAGGTTTTCACTTTGCTTTTATGACCATTATATTTTGTCTTTAGGATCTCTTCATTTCAAAATATTTTTATTATTAAACATCAGACTTTAATGTTCTCAGAGTCAGTGCCATTGTAATTATAAAATAAACTTGAAGCACAAAGTGTGACATGTAATCATAAGAATCCTATATTTAGTTTTATAAAGTGTTTTCTGTGTAGTATTTTTGTTGTTGGTGTTAAATTAGTAGTCAGTTTCCTTGATGGGTCAGATTCTTTCTCTGTAAAGATTTTGAAGTTGTGTATGAAGGCTTTATTTTGGCCAAGTTATAAATATTTGAAAAATGTTAGTTCTGTGCAGCTGCAGGCTGGGGCCATGCACTGGAACTGAGAGCAGGTAATCTGTCTCTTCTGTGCTGTCAGTGTCCCCCCTGCTGGGTTAAGAGAACATAGAGAAGGAAGCTGCCTTATTCAAATGCAGTGGGGACAACAGCCAGACCTGGAGCAGGGGAGTAGATTGGGACTGGAGGCTGGCAGGGATGGTGGAGAGAGAAACTGGGATTGGGAGTTGTGGGGAGAGATTGGGACTGGCTGGGCAAGAAGACTGGGCCTGAATGTCAGGGAAGAAAATAGGGAGGGCTGGGATTCTGCCAATGTGGGGGAGACTGAGATTGGATGAGGAGCCAGGAAGTGAGACTAGGACTGATTGGGCAAGGAGACTGGGATCCAGTGGGGCAGCGAGAAGGGGGGAGACACATGACAATGAGATGAGGTGTGGGGGAAGACTAAGACTGTCTGGGCAAAGAGGCTGTCAGAGGGAACCTGGGGAGGGAGAAAATTGGAATGGGTGGGCAAGGAGACTGGAAAAGGGGGATGGAAGACTAGGACGGGGAGTGAGGGGAGAAAAGGACTGTGACAGGGAGTCTGGAAGGGTGATACTAGAACTTGCTCTGTAAATAGATTGGGACTGGGATGAGAAGCCTGAGGGGTGGAGACTGACTGAGTAGACTAGGAGAATAAATAAATACATAAATTAATGGAGATATCCTATCTCCTAGAACTGGAAGGGACCTTGAAAGGTCATCGAGTCCAGCCCCCTGCCTTCACTAGCAGGACCAAGTACTGATTTTGCCCCAGATCCCTAGGTGGCCCCCTCAAGGATTGAACTCACAACCCTGGGTTTAGCAGGCCAATGCTCAAACCACTGAGCTATCCCTCCCCCCATAAAATTAATGGAGATATCCTATCTCCTAGAACTGGAAGGGACCTTGAAAGGTCATTGAGTCCAGCCCCCTGCCTTCACTAGCAGGACCAAGTACTGATTTTGCCCCAGATCCCTAAGTGGCCCTCTCAAGGATTGAACTCACAACTCTGGGTTTAGGAAGCCAATGCTCAAACCACTGAGCTATCCCCCCCCCATTAGTGTAAGAACTTCTGGGATTTCCTCACTTTTGCAATAAGATTGGGACTGAGCCAGGATGGGGTAGAGTCAAGACTGGGACAGGGAGGGGTTGGACTGGATGAAGCAGAGGTGGAGGAGGCTCAAGCTTAGGGGAATAGTCAGAAGTGTCTGTGCTTAGTAGAGAATACTTCTTTAAAGAACCTGGACTGGAACCCAATATTTCTGAGTCTCGTCATTCCTCTGCTGTGAGCAAATATCTGTACAACCCACTGGCAAAGAGTTCCATTCCCTTTTAGTGCTGGTGTACATAGAGGATGACAATGTACTACTGCTGTATATTACACCATTAGCTCAAATGGCAAAGGTTGGTGCAATGGATCTAAAGTTTCCAGCCCTGCTGATGACTCATGTGATGATACCACAGGATGGAATTTGTTGGTTTGGTTTTTTAATCTTAGTTAATTATATGCACACAAACTATGTTAAAGAAATGTTATAAAGGGTGCAAAGTCAAGTACTCAAAAGTTAGGAAATGCCAGACTTAAGGTTGCTTATGCCACCTTAATTTGGCTTCCCTTCTGGGTATGCATTTTGATGCAGTCTTTAATTACATAATCACATACTGTTTTCCACAGGACTCCTACCTCAATCAGTGCACAGGATGAACCTGCTCTGTGGATGGAGCATGGTTATGTAGTGAAGGAGGATGTTGAATATAGGACTCCTGCCTCATTTGTTGCAGAAGTTGGAAGGTGTGTAGTGAGTAAGGAGGCAGGGCACTGCAGGAAGAGAAAGGATGATCTCATGGTTAAGGCAGTTGAATGCTGCCCTAGAGAACTGGATTCTATCCCTATCTCTGCCACAGAGTTCCTATATGATGCTAGGCAAGTCAGCTAAACTTTTTACAGGAGGTCACCTATTGTGTATTCCTCCTTTTCTGGGTGCTCATGCTGAGACCCAACAGTCTGATTTGCAGAAATGCTGAGCACTTATAGCAGTACCTGAAGTGAGTGGGTGTTGT